TCTCTCAGATGATATTCTGTTCTGTCAAACTTGCAATTAGTTTTCAATCTCTCACTAGACTTCATGCTTCATCGCTCGATAAATGCATTATCTGACGGCAGAATGACCCGCAGACCGAGCACCATTGCTCTGATGAATAGAAAGTAGCATATATAAAATGATACCTAGCACTGCATCGCGTGATGCATGATTTGTATTGTAGGGGGCTATTGCTGTTTAACATAAATATAAAAAATTCAGTACGATATACAGTATTCGCCACAGATGTAATCACCAGTAGTTGTCCACAAAATGAACTACTTTTCGAAACTTCGCTCATCCTATAGGGCGATGATTGCATAGGTTAATGCCATGCTTGTTCGCAGCTCTTTCTCGTGCGCCAATGATTTGCTACACGTAAGGTCATCCATTGCGCACATATCATTACTATGTCTTACATATTAAACATACAGATGTGTGGCAGATATTGTTGTTTTTGGTGTCATCATGTCAACAACCGCAACACAAATGCAGAGCCAGTTTCATTCAGTGGCACGTAAAAATTTCTTGTTTTTACTGTCTAGGTTCCAGTTGACAAAATCAAACTGATGTAGTCTTAATATTCAAGTGTGAAGTCTTGCTATTGTAAAAACAAATGAAAGCTGAAGTAACTTGAAAATTACCTGATAAGTCCATTTTTCAAGCAAAAAGTGGACAATGTATATTGTTCGTATTCGGGCTCAAGACGGAAGAAATAAGGCATGAATGGTGGTTGATAAATTATGGTCCAGGGCTTTGAACCATACCATCATCCAAGCAATACATTCGTGCGACTTAAAAGTCGTGCCTTCTGGCTCCTTGTTATAATGTCTTTCAATGTCAGATAAATTGCGCATCGTAATGCTTGCATACTCTGCCCGAATACGATTAATGAAATATGCAATACCAATGCTCTGTTACAAATAGCAGACTATCGACCCGGGTACGAATTTTCTTAATAGTCATGAACAGAAATACAAATATGTGACGAGATATTGTTCCTCCTGTGTCCAGCGATTATTGGATTCTTTAGGAACTCTAATGGTATCTAGGTATATAAATTGAAGAAGGGTGGATTCAATGTACAGTGATGATGGAGTGTCCTTTAGTAATAAATGGGTCAATATCATCGTATTTAAGGATTGCAACATGGCGTTCAATAGTAGCATGGAAGGTTTAATATCTCATCCTCCATTGAAACCATTTCAGTCAGAATTGCCCCTGAACTTGACAGATTTCAAGTCAAATTTTCTCAGCGGAATTAATTGCCGATTTCGTACCTGAAGTAGGCGAGGCTCAATATCTAGACAGTCGCTCAGCAGCCTCGCCCATTGCATTATCGAACGTTTTCTCATGCTCGGTTGACGACTCAGTTATCATCTTCAATCAAATATGTCATTTGAAAGTCTGTCGAAGGTTATTTATTTAGTAGCTTTAGAGTCCATAGCCATTGATTTCATCAACTTTGTCCGTCATGGCTTCAATAGAAGAAGGAGGAACTTCATATGCCACCTACGACTATTTCTGTCCTAACAAAGGCCGTAAGGATTGACCAGCTTATCACGCTAGAACACTCAATCAGGGCTACTTTATAATCCCCTCATTTACATGTCAAACACATAGCCCGATAGGTAGATGGTGGCTTCTTATAACGAATCTTCTAAAATAACGACATCCGCTTAGTCTGAATTACTGCGATCAAATGACCTCGTATTGGTTTTTAATGATGTCGGAGCATATATCAGGTTTTCTCCACAATGCTTTGTATGTTTCGACATCACTTAAGTAGCTTCACAACACTGTCGTCCGTGGTATGGCTTGCAGACCTGATTGTATTTGAGACTGTCAGTAATGTAGGGAGGTCGTATTATTGGATCTAGAACGAATGTTGCGCCGACTGAAACACTTCTGTAATTTATATGCCCGTTTGTCTAACCTCGAACATTTATTTTTCCTTTGTTTTCTTCGGGTGAATAATTTATATAGCTGAAAGTATACTGCTGGCAAGCGTACGCATGGTACTGTAACATATCTAGTTACATATATAGATAAGAGGTAATCCCACTATAGTAACATACGTTTACTGGGGTCCGACAGGAGGGGGGGGGGGTTAGTCCCCCCCCCCCTTCCTCCCCTTACCGCTCTCATCAGTGCGTACCCATTGCCGGAAAGTGATTACAATGTACGTTAGCACTACAGAATAAAGAGGGAAATTGATTCGCATGTGAATAACTTGTATATGAACTCTATCGCAAGCTTATTCAATCCGCCCCTCAAAATCCACTATTTACTGCCCTGAAACGATGTATTTTCACTAGTCACTACCCCTAAAAAATATAGTAGGGTCTGGGTATATTACTACTATGTGCTCGTCATGAAAACGTACTGCCATAATGGTAGGGGTAGTGATTAGTGGAATCTACATACCCGCGGGGTAATGTTTAGTGGTTCCCCTCTATAGCTACTCAAATACATAGACCGAAGTATCATCAGTAAAAGTGGTATGAAGGTTTTATTCCACAAGCTAACTTACCTATTTTATACATGAACCACGTACAGCGAAAAACCAACTGTATTCTGTCTGCACTTAATCGACACAAACCAATTTTAAAGTAGGTTGTATATGTAAAACACACGAGATTTAAAATTTTCAGTTACGCCCTCTATCGTAATTTCATTATGGTATGAATTTGAGTAGGTTCTGAGACGTAATTTTCTCGGCAGAACTATTCTGCGATTTTATGGTCGTAGTAGGCGAATTCCAAATCTCGCATTTAAAACAGTCGCTCAGTGGTCTATTGAACTCATCTCAGCATCGATAACCTCTTCAAAATCGGCTAGGGAAGCCACGTCTTCATCTACGTTGTCTATACCAAACATATCGATTTTTTTTACGTCGATCTCAGTGTAATGAGTAAAAGTCAGGGTTTAAGTCTTTGAATACTCAGAATTGAGCTATGATAGCAGGCGTGACTTGAAATTATCAATCTCAGGGAATATAGCAACCACTCAAGCGACCATAAAGTTTGTAAAGCAATTTAGTACGCACAGACAGAGTATGGCTAATAATATAGTGCCAATCCCTCGCACTAGACAGAAGGGATTTATCCCCTGGAAGAAAGCCTTCATACTACTATTTCTGCTACACGGCCTTCTTGCATCATCACGAAGGAGTAGCTGCGAGTCATATCAGTACACTTGTGAGCTATACTATCAATACTTGTACATGGTGCTTTCAGTTTTACTATTAAGGATTATCACTAAAAAAATTACGGTCATACGAGTTCGCTTGATAGCTATAAATACATGTCCAATATTTCTCATATTTTTAGATGTATTTGTAAACGCGAGGTATAAAGGGCTGAGGTCGGGCATATCTCGAATCATCAGACTGAACATCCATATATAATGATCTTCGAATAATACTCTTTGTATTACACAGTTTCATGAACTATGGGTTTGGCGACATTTCTCGGTCTGCCATAACAAGGCGCTGTTTAAGTCTCTGTATATGAGTATCACCGATAGACACTTCAAAAAAGTTGTTATGCATCGTTAGGAGGCGCCGAGCTGGAGAATTAGAACCACCATACACGTTATTCTACAGTTACAGACATTGGACCTTCGAATCATGTGCTTATTTGCCCGTCTGCGGCCAGTGTGTCGACGGCGAGTGCCAAGATACGTAGCTTTAGCTATGTTTTTTTTTACTTTCTTAGTTTTGGTAAACGTGCTAATATGTGGTGAACTAAGTGACCTCAAAACACTTGTGGTGATTCTTGATGACTTTGCACAACAATCCCATGATTCATAGTGTTTTCAGGTGTAATTTACACGTTTACCCTAAAACTTAACATGAATGAATCAATTTAATATATTGTGAGTTGAGAGTCACAATTTGTCGAGGTGTGACTGTAGACTCACGTTCATCAGCCGGGTCGTCTATATGGTATGAAACTAACTTCTTACACTCATGGTCAGTACGGACAGTAGATATACCCTATCCTTTCCATTGTCTGCTGTGACTTCGAAGGCTAAAAAATGGTATACCATTTGTCATACACCATACACTGCCTTTGATATTTTCATTTCACGCACAAGAGGTGGAAAGAGAAGCAACTTCCCTCATCTGAAAACTATAGCCTCGCGATCCTTCCGATTGCGCCGCGGCTGTTTCCAAGAAGCTATGGGCCCGTGTGGGACTCGGAATAGGGGAGATTTCAAAACAACAGCAATACTACCGTATTGAGTGAAATGAACAGTTCTTTAGACATTCTAAGATGCGAGTTTTATACGTTGCGTGATGGCGTGATGAGAGACACAATTTCTGCGTTTCATTAAAATGCATCCCGTGACGGTGGTCAACGAACGATTGAGAGCGTGATAACGCTTGTAAAACTGATGGAATAAACTCGTAGATAACCTTGATCGAGGTTTGTCACACAATAGTGTCGGGCAAGCTTGTGTCCATCCTCAGCAGTGAGTATATTGTGATAAATTGTAACACTCGTGCTGATCGACCGGACGCCACATACTCGTCTGCGGAATTCGGATCTATGTACACGGGAAAGAACGTCCTAGCCCATATTTACTGCGGTAGCGACTCGCACGATGTACCGCGTGTAGAGTGTAATAATTTATTATCGATTTGGTGTGTCACGCAGTGCCTAATTATGACATCGAGTCCGCCGCGTTCAGCTGGTTCTCATGGGAGTGGTACATTGGTCATTTACCATCATTGTATCTAATCTGCAATCTTACTAATTTCGTGGATGTCTAGGTCGAAACCGTAGGTGGCATCCTGTTTTTTTTGGAATCAATCCTATGCAATTATTACTTGCAATTATTGATAGCGATGCATTCATCATTTAACATCGTTGTACCTAAACTGCAATCTAACTAATTTCGTGGGTGTGTCTGTGTCGACACCGTAGATTGCATCCTGAATCTTTTGGAAACAACTATTGCTTGCAATCACACCCCAGGACCGAAAAACTAATGAATCATCAATCGCGCTTTATGATATCATCAAACGCTTTTCCAGTATCTCATGTGCCATTCTCAGTCGGAAGTACGGCATCTGCTCCTGTCCAAAGTCGAAGATTTGTCCCAATGGTATCCCTGAACTGCCTCTCGACCGATACTCGCTGAATTGACACGCAAACACCCCGCAATCAGAACCATTGTCCTGTTGCGGGGTGAGGTGCACTGGCGTAAAGTCTGCCCAATCTTCTAGTGGGAAAGTTCGACCTAGATAGTATGCGTTAAGGGTTGGTCACCATAAGTGAGACTTTTAGGAAACTATGTATCATACCTTCGGTGTCGCTTACTCATAAACAAACGCTCGAACCGATAGATATGGATATACGTAAGGCTATAGAAAAGTAAAAAAACGGGTACCATAAGTAGCAGACCGTCTACAGGCATGGATTTGTTTTTAAGCTCGACTGATATCGAATCGGTATGGAACACACACTTCCAGAGTTAATAAATGGACACATTCAGAAGAGTATCACATATTCACAGCAAAACCCAGTGCACCGCGACCTACTTTGCTTGTCTCAATAGTCACGAGACGTGGTCAAAGCTCACGGCACACACCCCTACAAAGGAAGTTTACCATCAAGGATACAGCCATATCGCTAAACACGTATGCGACCCACTGTCCACCGCCCAGTTTTCGATATTAAACTGAATAGATTGTGGCGGCCTGAAGTATAATTTGTAATACCACAGCAATTTTTATGACCATGATCGATGCCCTTGATCAACCACCTTACGTATCTATACATATACTCTTATTTTGTAAAATCGACATCTCTTAGTATACACACACACTAGAAACGCACACTCGTTGATAGTCATCGCTCTTCACATCCCTAACATGCACCTCTTTTATAAACTATCTTACCTTTTTTAGCCATACATTCGTCATCTAGATACATTCGCAACAAGTCTTGCACATCTTGACCGCCCCCCGCAAGGCTGTCATAGTACTCGAAGCGTTTCTCTACAAAGTTAATAATAGCAGTCGTCCAGTGGCTGCCGCGATGAACTGGTACTATAACATATTCCATTGAGAATAGATCTACCTGTGTAAATTTCATTGGACAGTCAAAAACGAACGCATTAGAAAAACAGGTGGGTACTCTCTGCGAGTTGAAAATTGAATCTTTGAGTGTATGCAGAGTGAATTTCCTCACACTGAAAATTGTAATAATAATAATAATAAGAATAATGAGAGGGATGCGCTAATTGGAAATTGGGCACCACAATAGAAGTCCGGGTGCTTTGTACTGAAAAAGACTAATTCGAATTGGGGGATTTTTGGATATAAATATCCAGTATAAATATATGGTTTAAATTAGAATCTCGGATCTTTTGGTCAACTCTATAGGTAGACCAGAAAACTGAGGGGCATGCTCAATAAATTTTTTTTTGACATGATTTTTATAAATATACCTAAAAATAGTCAAAAAGGGTGATTTTGTCATCAAATCGCCCTTTTCGAGCCTATTTCTGGGTATATTGATAAGAAAATGAGGGTTAAAATATGGATTTTTGTGCTTGCCCTCATTTGTCTGGTATACCTATGGAGTCGACCAAAAGATCTTAGATTCCAATTTGAACCATATATTTGCCCTGAGCATTCATGTCCCAAAACTCAATTTGATCCAGTTTTTTTCCAGTACAAAGCACCCACATATCCATATTCGTGCTCAATTCGAAATAGCGCACCCCCCCCCCCCAGAAAATATAGATACAAATAAAAAATTGAACAAAAAAACAATATGACGACGATATAATAATAAATATAATAAAAGTAACAATAAACTAATAATAATAATAATAAAAATAATAATAACAAGAATAAGAATAAGAATAAGAATAAGAATAAGAATAAGAATAAGAATAAGAATATATATATATATATGTATACACACACACACACACACACACACACACACACACATATATATATATATATATAAACATATATATTATATTGCATATATAGTCATAGATAATCATATATAATCATATATATATATATATATATATAAGAAATTCCATATGTTGTCTACCTCCTTTCCAGGCGACTATGTACGAAGTGCCTTCCACCTTCGACCGTATAGAATATAGGATTGTTATCCGGAATATATTTTCATATTATACACGACAGTAAATCAAAATCGACCGTCAGTACTTTTTCCTGGCATCACCACATCTGCGAATGGAAATGCTTTTCGCCTAGCTTCAAGATGATTATCTATCACGTTCGAGGATTTTGAACAAAACAATCGCAACAATAATGACAGACACCGACGACAACGCAACACCCGCAGTCGGTACGAATGTTGAAAGTAGAGTAGTGGATAACAACCGACATGCTCACCTTACCCTCTTGGTCCAGCGTTGCATCTTCTCATAGCCATCGTGGCGTAACTTTGGCAAGAAGTGGCTATTGAAGCAATGTACTCGAGGGACACTGGCGCCTGATCTGTTTGCCCTGTCGTTGATCATAGCCATGTACATATTCACCAGCTACAATACCATGATATGAGAGGGAAATGCCAAGTCAAGAGGTGGTGGGTAACGGGGCATGTCATCGGTTGTCGCCCAATTGTACCGATAAAAAGGTTCCTTCAGAACAGCAAAACTTTGCTTTGCTACGTACCAAGCATACTGCTTGAATATCGTACAACCATTCATCAACACGGACTTAATGTAATTCACACCCTACTATCTATATGGCGGGGGGTTTCTTTTGGTTTTTCCTCTGTACAGATTTTCCTATTTTATCAAAGCCTGTTCTACTGGGCCTTGATATATTCTGTGCAGGATCACATATGGCTTGTGCAATACGCATATCATTTTGTTAGACTCGGTACAGAGCGCGTGAATATCTCAATTGCGACACACAGAACAAATACCCAATAGCCTCTGCTCTGAGCCCAGGTATACGAATGCACTCTTCCTCAACCGCACCCGTCGTGTCTTGAGAACAAAGCAGGCACACCCACACACCCACCCACACACTAGCACCCCCTAACCCCCAAGCTCAATAACTGACAGAAGCAGATCAAGTGTCCGTCGGTTATGAAGAGGACAAAATGGGTCCCGTCGCCCTACACCTGCCAGTCCCACATACCGAGTCATTGAGCCATTCCAGGCCATCCAGCCGGCATAGGTCGCGCTGTGTGACGCTGCACTGCAAACCACTCGCCACCACATCTGAGTCGTTGAAACTCCGCCGACGCCACACGCGCTTGACTCTCTCTCTGCCGTCGGGGGGAATGGGTATCTGCTTGAAGTGTCGGTCGGTTGTTGGTAGACTGGGACTCGGTTCCTAAGTACGTACGGCAAAGGCAATTCGGGTTAGTTCTATTTGGCTTATGTGCGTGTGGGTGATTGATGGTCTGGAAGTTATCGCAATATCAAAGGATCGTATATGTATCGTCTGCATAAAGCCGTATTTTGCGTAGTGGTGTGGGCAAAAAGACGTCACCAGTATTCATTGGTTACGGTTTTTAGGGCAGACGCTCGATATTAATCCGTGTTTTTATTTGACCGTCGCTCCACCCAACACGCCTTATGTGCAAGGGAGGCATTCCCGAATGATTTTCTTTTGCTAGAAGCACTGATTACTGATAAAGTATGTATACGAAAATTCTCGTTTTTTAAAGGCGTCTAGCTACTTAGTGACGAATCACCAGTCCAGCACAACACAGGTGCCTAACTGTTAAACCAGTTTCTAAACAGGTTCGCCTGCACAACCACTTACTCACCTCAAGGAACGAGATATCCTGGAAGCTCTGATTCAGCGAATTGAATTCATCCCGGTTTTCCTTTTTGGTCCAATACCCAGTCGCCTCAACATTCCAATCGACAATGTTTGCTCTGCTTGTCTTGACTTGCGGCTGCTGGGGGCCATACAATGCCATAGATAACTGCTTGCGCAGCTCATCATCGGCCTCGTCATCTGTGACTAAACTGATTGCGTAGCGTGTGGAAGAAAAACCCATACTTAAAAACCCAGCTCTCGAGCCTTATTGGAATATAACATACAGCTAACGAGGGTTTATACTTAAAAGCATCGGAGAAGCACATATGTGTAGCGTACAGCACTATCTCCTGAAGCACTCAACGAGTCCAAGGGGCGATCAGGAGCTCTAGACTGATACGCTTGTATGCGTAAGCGTGAATCGAAGACTCGATCCGAATCCGGTACGGGTTGTCCGCCGAATGCACCTCATTCGTGTGGCATACATGAGCCACCTCAACCTCTATACTCGCAATTTATGAACTCAAAAACATACGCCATACCGACACACCCAAACGCTTACTCAATCATATCTGGCTCAGGTGCAACACTGCTCGTAGATGGCCGCCCCGGCTTGGTTTCTCGACCGGGAGCAGTTCTACTCGGAGTAGATCTTCTCGTTTGCCGGCGGGGTGCTTCCCTGGGGGATGCTCCGGTGCTCTTTATCTTTTCATTTGTCTTTCCTTGCAACTGCGCTCTGCCAGACTGGGCTGTAGGCGGTTCCTGTATCAAATGAACCATTTGTTAACGAAAAAAAAGTGTGACAGGAACCAGTACCGAACTACTACTAGTCGGGTAGTACGTCGAGACGGATTGTGAGGGTCTAGTACGCATCAGCTGACAACTGAAGGTCGATTGGAATTGAATGCAAGACATTGTGCTCACCTCCACATCGATGTAGTCTCGCATGTTCCTTGACGGCTGATGAAGGGATTGCAACGTAGATGTAGATCGATTCGGCTGCAACAGAAGCAGAGGAGAGTGCAATGCAGTGTAAAAGGGCGTATAGTTACAATTGTAAGTACATCACACAAACATTTAGCAGACAGACGACTCAACAAACATGGAAGGTATTGTATATTGTTGCACTAGGCTTCATAACAGTGAAAAAAACTCTGTGCACAAATGGGACCACACAACGCAAATATGTGTGCAACGACTAGCCATCAATAGTTGGCCAGGTTTCAAATTCCATCGAGGGTCTCTATGGGCAGTAAGTGGTCCTACGAATGACACATCGAGACACAATGGTTACAGACCATCCAAAGCCGTAGCTACAGATTGCAAAGTGGATGAGATGAGACTCGATGCGTACACTATTTGCTGTGTACCGTTCATGGTTGCATTGCATAGGTCACGCAGTGCGTGGAAAGATAATGAATGAAATGATTTTTTTTCCTAGCTGACAGCGAAAGCTTCAAGAGGTATGATAAATTGAACCATAGTGGCGATAAGTGTATGGTTAAGTCTGTGTAAATTGAACTTAGCGCTGTAAAAGATGGCAGATCAGTTGTCTTCGCGTAGAATATATATACTATACATACCCGCACATTAGTTTCGGATTCTCGTCTTTGTAGATGTGCTCTGTGTGTTTGTTGTGACGCAGATGCGAGCTCAGAGCTGTGCGAATAATTCCGGCTCAAACTCGCCTGAAAGTGGAGCACCGAATGGCGTAGATATGAGTACGAAGTTGCGCGCCTTTGTATTTTGAACATTGAAAACACCGCCGTGAGAATATACAAAATACATTATTCGTGCACATGGTCTCATGTGGTGATTGTTGAGTCCTCCCCCCCAAAAAGAAGAAGTCTATTGAGAGCACCACTGAGTCGGCTTGCTTCGTATATGTACATAAAGAGTACAAGTTCGTGATCCGTTTAGACCTACCTGTCGATGGATGCTCGATTGGGAGTCAAAAAGATTCTTAGCCGACGAGTATGAAGTGGCATTGTTCAGTTTCCGCGCCCGTTGGTCTGTCTGCATATCGAAACGTCACATCGGTTAAAAGACACAAGGGGGTGGCCTTAGTAGAATTATGATGGGATGGGGTAGTACCAGCTTAACGGACTTCAATACATGAACGAGTGGACGCGGTTGGTGGCTGAACGTATAGGACGGGACATACATATTGCCGCGTATTGTGGTACACTACCGGATTGGTGTGTCCTCGCTATGCCCAACATAACACCACACCAAATACACTTCACACAACCCCCCCCCCCAACTCAAACCAGAAAAAGATAAAAAATCATACACCGTCCCACGTATACCTGCCGCGGCGGTCCGTCTCTCGAGGGGTGTGCACTGTACGAGTTCACTGTGCGGTCTGTGTTGGCACCCACCGTCTGTGCCCTCCCAAGTTGTTGTCGGTCCTGCTGCACCTGTGTTTCTCTACCCTGTTGTGCCTCGTCCCTGTAAGGGGTGTTCCTGCCATGTGGCTGCTGGTCTCGTCGTTGCTGCTTATCCACGAGCGGTTGCCTGGTATTCTGCTGTTGTATATGCTGCGTGTGTTGTTCTGGCGTCCGAGACCGTCGCAGCGAGTCTCTCGTGCGCGGTACGCCCGTTCGGTGGGCACGAGCGGTAGCACGGTCACCAGATACATGTATATCCCACTCGCGGTCTGGCTCTATATACCTCGAATCGGGTATGTGAGGGGATGTGCGCTGGTCCCTTTTCTGTGACGGGTCTTGCGGTTGTTGCTGGTTCGGTTGAGGGCGTGGTGCTGGATGGCCTCTGAGTTGTCGCAGCGTCGCCTGCGAGTGTTCCAGGGTGCGTGTGGAGTGCTGGAGTGCGTCCTGAATAGCTGTGCTTGAATAGGAAGGGGTGCCGCTACTTCTGACCGGTGGATAGGTGTACTTCTGTGAACCCGGGATGTGCGTCGATTCTCTGGTAGCTCGTGAGGGGTATCTGTGGGCAAGAGAAGCCCTCGTACCTGTCTGTTGAGAGTACCTGAGCTATGAGTAACAGACAGAGCCGTAGCTATAAATAAGCGTGTGGTCCGAATCGAAACAACATTCGATTTTTTTCTCATGGAACACATAACAACTAGAACATAACGTACAAGCATAAATTAACGCTATCAAACCGTCACTCCGTTCCATCTACATTTTTTTTCGAGCGTATACGTTTTAAAAATTGCGTTAATGTCACCAGCGGCACTATTACATCGTTCACAAGAGGTGAATTGTTGTAGTATGCAATAGATTGGCACAGGTGAGTATGTATGTGAAGACAAAGTATGTCTACGTCAATGAGAAGCGATACAACCCTGCTTTTCAAGATACATTAGGAGAGAAACGCACAATATCCATTAGATGACACATGTTTAAGTACGATTACTCAACCCTAAAACGATATAGACCAATCCCATGCCCACATGTCTGGTGCAGTGCGGTACTTCTGGTCAGTGCATATTTTCAGGTCTTGAAGTTGAAGTGCCCTGCACTTGTATTGATACACTCACACCTCAAGTCAGACACGCGTGATATAATACACACAAGATACTTTCAACAACGGCATGATGTGTATGCCCATGAGAATGGCAACATATGGCTGTGTGTAAACGTAAACAAGTTTCGATTTCGAGGTATATTTGTCACCGCTAGTTTGGCATAATGTGATAGCCAATCAAGTGCATACGAATGGCTTGTCACGTGTACTAGCAAGTGGTTCCGTTGGCTACTGCTCATTTCGGGCCTTGCATCTATCCGTTGTACCTACCTGGTTGCGTAGTAGCAATATGTTATACCTACATGTCAGCGCCCTTGTACGCACGCAATGCTTGACAATTGCACAGAAACAGACTCACTACATGGCAAATGCTGGTCTCATATGGGTGGCTGGTAGGTATATCGTACACGTGTACCTTGTCATTTGATACACCCAGGCGTATCTGGACACATTCTATACCTGCGTAATGGGATCGGTATGACTTCGCGGTGGCGAATCTGTGAGATCGACTACTCGGGGCGAGGGGGTGTATCTGTTTCTGGATTGGAACCAATCAGGTTGCACGTCGTTCAGATTCGCACAAGCACACTTGTAAGTCAAGCTTATCCAGTGTGATAGGAGGGAATGGAGGATGGAGGGGTGGGGGGGGGGCGGGTGATCGCATACGCACACATATTCTGCATCCAGCACCTTACACTCTAGTACCCCGCCCAGAAGTAGTTGTTCGTACACACATACTTGGATAGTCAGCCTACTGACTTAGTGTGCTTATCAGGGGGGAGCACAGGACAGGCATGGCTCGCTCTTGGAAATTGAGAAGCACGTGCACAACTGCAACATTTTCAGTATATGCGGCCACGTGGGACCTGATGCTAATAACTATGACCACGACAGCGCATGCAGTCGGGAGAGTATTCAGTGGCGTATGCGTGCGTTAGCATACTTGTACGTGAAAAACATGGATGTGATACGAGGGATGGTACGCTCTGAGCAAACGCAGATGTGCCGTGTAAGGATAGGCAGCGGAGAGGCACAAGGTGAGATCAACGTAATGTGCTGTTCATAATCTATACATATACTTCGAAAGTTATAGTTCATATTTAGAGAGGATAGACAGCGGAGAGGCACAAGGTGAGATTAACATAATGTACTGTTCATAGTCTATACATATACTTTGAAAGTTATAGTTCATATTTATAGAGGATAGGCAGCGGAGAGGCACAAGGTGAGATTAACGTAATGTGTTGTTTATAATCTATACATATACTTTGAAAGTTATAGTTCATATTTATAGAGGATAGGCAGCATACAGGCACAAGGTAATTTTAACGTAATGTGATGCTTCTAATCTATATATACATGGGAGGAATAGTTCATATTTGGGATTAGCGGATGCGAAACCATTTGTCTCTACACCAGCGTAAATTGTTGACCTTTTTGCTCGGGGTGTCGGATAGTACTATCTTCTAGTCTCACGAGTTGCAAGTACGATGATCAAGTATACATAAACATCCCGTGATAGATATACATGATCATCGCAAACACAAACAAGCTCGCAACATATCGTCGAAGATTTGTTTCAATAGTAACAACAGAGCGAGGTTGAATCCAATTAAAACATACAAGAGGTAGCATCTGATGTCGAACTATATGATTGAGGCTTCTGAATGAAGTTTCTCTCAATTATAATAGCTTCCAGAAACATACACAAACCACGCTCATAATGCATGCGCACACGATCACTACAATACTCTAACATACCTTGTCTGGATTGGCGGAGATGACGGTGGAGTAATCAGATCAACAGTACCGGCTGTGCTTGCTCTCTGAACCTCCCTTCGTGCGTGTGAGTGTTCAGCAGGCACCTTTGCTGTAGGTCGCTTAGACCATATATCGTCACCTCTGGATTGCCTGTATGGGCGTACATTGTGTGGATCGTCTAGAGTGGCAGGGGAATTTCGATGCACAGGAATATTCGACCGATCACCCGTGTGTGGACGGGTGCTTGTAGGCACGACAGGAGTTGAATACTTCCGCGGAGGCAGTTGATATAGTTGCGACTGAGACCGTGCTGATGGGAACAAGCTCGTCTTCCTAGTTGAAGGGTCGGTTGTTTTTTTCTTCTCCATACTGGACGAAAAGCTTATTTGGAGACTATCCCTATTCTATCAGAACATCCCTAATATACTTATTAGCTATATTACTATTTCCTCAGTGCTCCGTTTACAACTCTGAAACACTATTGTTAGATTATTCGGAAGTTATTCCACATGAT